GTTATACAAAAATTTTTGTGAGATTAGTGAAGGGAAAAAATGGGATCTCTTACAATTCGAAGATCCTGGATTCCAGCTATTTGTTATCACCAAAAATACATATCATACAGGATATGCATATAATTGGTCCTGCTTCACTATTGGAAGTTAAAACCTATATCTGGTTGTTATTGATTACCATTGACCAGGTTTATAGATGATGATAATAATTGTTGATAATGTTGTTGGTTTATGCCCTTTTAGTCTATACCTCCATTTGAATGAAATGGGTAGAAAAATAAAGAGTACTGGTTTCAATTCTCTGAGGAATGGATTACAAAATTAACTCTGACCTGCACAACCAAAACGCATGGACTATAACACTTCTCCTTTGTAGATAAAAGACTGGCTCTGTATCACTGTCAGTCTTTATTGGACATCAACTCATATTTTCAGTTTTTCTTATGGCAGGCAAGTGTTCAAAATGAGGGAAGTGAAAGTGAAAGGTACTGTGTTTATGATAAAGATATTGCGACCAGCTTGGGCGTGGCTTCATTATTGTTTCTTTTGGTTAGTCAACTCGTAATAATGGTTGCAACTCGATGCTTGTGCTGTGGGAGGGCCATGAGACCAAGCGGTTCTAGAGCATGGGCAATTGTCCTGTTTATCACTAGCTGGTATGTATAGAATTCATACTATAACTAAATGATCTCATTGCTTACAGTTTAGCCATCCCCTGAATTACCGAGTTGGAGATTTCTTTTCCTTCTATGTCAACTTTCAAGAACAATACATCCCGACTTCATGGATTTCTATCCAAATCTTGTTATGCATTTATCACTCCTATTGTTTTAACAACTCATTTCATTGGTTTTCAGGGTGTTCTTTTTCCTTGCTGAAGTATGCTTGCTGGCCGGGTCAGTGCGAAATGCACATCACACCAAGTACTTGGGTTCGAAGATATCATGCCAGGTCTTGAGAAGGGGAGTCTTTGGTGCTGGAGCTGCCTTTATTGTCTTAACAGGCATTGTGTCGGAACTTTACTATGTTAGTCACTCCAAGGCTAACGATGGCCAGGCTACCTATGCTAGAGACACTGGAATTAGAATGGGAAACCTATAGATTAATTATAGTTACAGGAAGTGGTTAGTCACATTCTGATTTGTATGAAGAGTCGGGTATTAAGCTTGTAGTGTATTAACACTTAGTTTGTCTATGAAGAATTAAAAGACCTACAATTCTTCAGTCTGTTTGAAATTAGTTCTTCTTTGTCATTGACAGGGACATTTGTACTCTTATCTCTTTTTTTGTGAAAAATAATAATGTCCAGGGAACCCTAAAGTCTCTCATGTATTGACTTCTGGAATAAGATACACTATCTAGGTATTATTAGCAGTTTTCTTGATCTGATTCTAGATTCTGAAGAAGGAAAACAGTTGCGATTCTTTAAATGGACAGACCCTCCAAAATCAAACTAAAAATGCAAGATTTTCACCATAAATTTCCACGAAAAACATGAAAAAAAATAGAAGGGGCAATCCTTTGGGTTGAAGAAAATTGAAAATTTGAAGATCAAACTCAACAAGCAATTTACAGGTGAGAGCGTACAGAAAGGTGATTAAGCAATTGGGAACTCCCTTCTCTGAACAAGAAGCTACTTAATGCATAATGTAATATAAAAAAACAAATGAACCAAGCCTGGAAATTGTGGCCCCAATCTGCACATGCTGTGGAAATGGATTTGAGAGGATGAGGGCACGGGGCAGGCCTACATCTGAACAATGATTTGAGTGCCTGATTAAAAACAAACAATCAACCAAATCTTCAAACACAGTATAAACTGGACCAGAACAAACGATAGAGAACAAGAAGAAGAAAAATTAATACAAGAAAACCACTTTACAACTAGAATGCTGTCAGGACAAGGAATAGACAATGATTCTCAACTAGTGGCTATGAATTATGAGCAGGAAAAAAAAATCCGTGGAGAATATTATTCATGTGTCCAAAGATATAAACAAGAATCTTCCATCACGTCCAGTTAGCCCAGCATAGCTGTAACAGACCCCATCCCCTCTATTCATCATATTCCATTCAAGAAACAGATGAACCCTGGCCTTAGAACAGAGAGATGTGTACAAATGCACATCTTTAACTCGAAGCTGAAACTGCAAAAATGACAGCTTCAAACAGTATACATCTCAATCCATTTGTTACATGTTGAACTGAAGAAGAAGAAAACTATACATATTATAAGTAGGGGGGGAGAAGTACACTGAAAAAGACTGACGATTTAAGGGGGAAAAAAAATGAACAAACCACCATTAAAAAGCAAAACCCATTTCAAGAAAAGAGGTAATATGGTTAAAGATTGCTACTTTAATTCATGGTTTGATCTCGGAATCATCCCATGGTATGTTGATATCTGTGGAGACAAGAGCATCTATTTCATCCCAATTCCAGTAGTTTGTCATCTCCATGGCGGCGCTGGTTGCACAGGGCGTTTGCCATGGCGGCTGAGTGACGGTGGTGCTAGTGGCGGGCATGGTGATGCTGGCGATGGTTGGATCCTCCATGGGTTCATAAACATTTTGAGATTGAAAAGAGGTCGATATTGAAGATGGGTTTGTGTCAAAAGAACTCGAGCTCGAGGTAGAAAAGGGAAAATGCAGGGCTTGATTTTGAGGCAGGGAAAGTGTTGAAGTTGAACCCAGGAATACCCTATTGCCAGGGACCAAAGATGGCAGCGGACAAGTGAGCACTGGATGGTTGAAATCGTAAATGTTTTTCAGATCACCAAGTGCAGAAGGAAGATAATCGTGCTTCTCCTGCCTCTGCCTCTGTTCCTGGAATTGGGATGATCCCCTCTTGCTGATATCGGCTACCGTACTAGTACTGGCACCGCTCGTGGCGCCGCCACCACCACCACCACCACCACTATTTGATGTCTTGAGCCGCTTGTTTTTGCGGCCGCCGCCAACAGGGACGTTACGGAGTGTGCCACCTTTGGTCCAGTGCCTCTTACAAGCCTTGCAGAAATGCCTTGGCTGTGACTTGTTATAGTTGTTGTAATAACAGAACTTTGTGTTGGTAGAATCACACCTCGGACACTTCAGCTGCTCCGATTGGTTCTGCTGCTGCCGCTTCACCGACGGTTTTGGTAACTCCAACGTCTGAGCCTGCAACAACGCCTGGCTCCAACCCAGTCCGCCGTCCCCTGAAACCTCCTTAGAACTCAAACCCATCTTTATGAATGTGCACACACCTTCAAAAAAATAATGATTATATAGAAAATCAAGAAGCTTGAATTCCTGAGTTAAGTATATTCTCTGCAAATGTTAAACAGCTAACTTTCTGAATTCTATCCTTTAGATCGAGATCGAGGTACAAGATGAGAGATCAATTGGAAGAATTGCTGGAAGATGAGATTGATCCAAATTGAGATAATGGGGTAATGAAATTTGTTAAATTCAAGGAAATGGGTACGAAGGTGATGAGAAAAGAGCATGCTTTTGAGTTCCCTCTATCTTAAATATATAATCTAACTCTATGGACCAATCTATATGAAAGTATGGAAGTATATATATTGGCAAAAACGGAATAATAATGGAAAATATAAAGAATAATTTTAAAAAAATTACTTTGATCTTAGTATATGGTACTAGAGAGGTTGGTGTCAATAATGGCATCCTTCACCATCCCTCCCCTAATAGAATTTTATAGTGCAAGATGAAGAGTTTCTTAACCTCGAAGGTGAAGGTGGGTTGATGACACGTGGAAGTGTGAGGACCGTTGATAGTGGGGAAACATAAGAGGATCATGTCATACCAAAACAAGTTACACTAAAATAAGCTATATTTGTATGGTTGCATATACAGGGAATGTTAGTACAACTACTGCCGAGGTCTATGGGGTTGTGATGCTGATTCTCCCATGATGTTTCCTGGATGATTTAGGGCTTAAAATAATAAAACCCAAAAATTTGTTGGCATCTTGTGATTGGTGGTAGGTGATGTGATGATCCAATGGCCCAATGCACATGTGATAACAGGTTGGTTGGTTGGTTTTTGCTTAGAGGGGAGTGAACTACATGCAAGTGTGGCTCAGTCAGATGTAACTAAACGATCCGTCAAGCAAGAATAATAATAATAGAAAAAAAAAAAAAAAACTCAAAATTGAGAATGAAAATGAAAGTATAAGTGTGAAAGTTAATTGTATGCAGTAAAACTCTAATTTAGAGTTATTAACCTTGCAATTTAGATAATTTTATGATTCAATACGGTTTTTTTTTTTCTTTTTAACTAGGAGAATTGGGGGTAGGGGAAGGGCAAAATGAGGACAAGGGGAATCGAACTCTTATGATGTTGGTAAAAATTCTTGTAGTAATAACTTGAATCACACATCAAAATTTAATTTAACATAGTTATAAGCGTAAAAGAATTAAGATTTTGAATCATAGTAATATTTTAAAGATATAGAAATATTATGTTTTGATCAATTGAGATGGGGTTATCCCTTTTCATTAGTTTTATCACCTCTTCTTTTTATCATATTCTTAAAATTATAATCAAATTCAACTAATCATTTTAACAGACATCTTTGTTGCATTATGTTTTAATTAGGGAACATGGGAGAATGATTTTGGAAGTGCGTCTTAAGCAAAAGTACAATAGGGGCACAAGAGCCACGTGCAAAAATAATTAATTAAGCCACGAGTCAAGCATAAAAATAGACATTACTCTTCAATTTTCATGTGTTGATAATAGTATAGAGAAAGAGAAATCTGAAATGACAAAAATTAATCCAGCCTGGTGTAGTCGGTGTTGGTTAGGTATGGTTGATTTCTATAGTCTTAGCATTTTCCACTGTGTCCGAAAACGACGAAACAGAATATCTGGCTGGAAATGGACCTCTATGGTTCAATCAACATCTACTCATCTTAATTAATCTTACTATAATTAATTAAAGAAATAAATAGGTCTTACTTGTCCAACTAAGAACCCTAATCCAAGCCTCATACCACTAATTTACATTAGAAATATGAAAAAAAAATTATTATTTAAATTGTAAAACGCTACTAACTATTAAATTAAGAGAGTTAAGATTCTTAATATTAAGTTGAACTATAAAACACTGTATTTTAAAAATAAGGTTTCATTTAATCATCAACTCAAAGTGCATGGAATGGAATATATAAAGCTTGCAAGTTGGTCTCGCGCATGTCAATGTTGAGTGGCTATATATTTATATATATATCGCTTTTACAGCAGCCCCTTGTTCAATTTGGTATCATTAATTGTGTATAATTACAGTACTTTATTTTATATATACGGTTCTTTTTTAATGTTAATGTATATGAGATAGGTGGCCGTCGCGGCGCTGGCACGTGTCAAGGCATGATGGGGTTTATCTAGGCAAGTTGTATGCAATTGATTGATTCCAAGTTGGGACATGAAGATGTTGGTGTTGTTGGGTAGCTTCAAAGTTTGGTGAAAGATTTGATGAAGAAATCAAAATTTATGACTCAGATTCACTAAACAGATGTTTACATGATAAAATAGTGACACATATCATTGAGAGAATTTAATCATGGTTCATGAGTGGACCAAGTTTGACATGTTATGGCAGACCGAATGGATGCATGCTTGCATTCATGCATCGAATTTTCTGGCTGCTAACTTGTTCAAATCATGGAGGATTATTGAATATTATGCACTGAAAAAAATGGAAACATTGTCAAGTGTTCAAACTTCAAAGCTCCCTTACCAAGTCAACTATTCATGGAGAAATCATAACTAAACCATATATGCTAAAGTTGAATATTTAAACTATTTGTAAAATAAAAAAGTGTTTTATAATTTAAATTATAAAATATAAAATTTTCAAATGAAAGATGAGATGAATTTTTCGTATACAAAAGTTTTTATTTTACAATTCGATGTAATTTAACTTAAAAAATAGTAAATCTTTTCAAAATGTATGTTTTTTCTAACTTTTTTTTCTTTTAGAAAAATATCAAGTGGTTAAAGGTATACTGCTATAAGTTTAGATATTTCATATCATTCAAGGGATATTTAAGAGTTTTGACTGATGGGGCAAAAACTATTTATTTAAGTAAATTCCATTTGGGGTTGGTTCCTTAAATGACTTGCTTCCGTAAATATACCACGTACCATTCCTTAATGGCGAAGAGCGGAAGGAAGTCATGCACAATTAAAGACGATGACAATGATCCACTTTTTTTTGGCCATTGACAATGATCCACTTTTGAATGCGGGATGCAGTATCAAACTCCTAGTCACCCTCCTCGTCTCCTTGCAGCTTCCAAAAGCCGAAAGTTAAAAGAAGACGTGACCAAGTGACTAGTGTCAATAGTGTGCACGGTCGTAACATCCTTTTCTGCTAAAAGCAGATGTCCAAGTCATGTCAAGTCACTGACAACGTGTAACCCACCAAAAAGAAAAATAATGGCCAGGCACGTTTACGCTAAATTTCTAGGGGTACTACCGCCCCAAACCACAATCGGCAAGTACATTTCGCACATGGATTTACTAAACTAAGTAATAATACTGAATTATAATATGAGCGAGAAATGACTCAAATCCATTCACATAGATTCAAAGACAACACAAAAATGGTCGCGGCCTCAGTTTTTTCATCCGCATTACAGACAACAGTAAGATTAAAGAGAGTCAGTGATTGAGTATTTCACGTATATATATCATTACAGCAAACACTACATTGCATCTCAGTACTCTAATCGAAGAAACAATAATATTTGTTTTCCTAAAATTTGAAATCCTTCTTCTTTGATTTCCCTTCCTTCTCTTGCATCTTACGCTTCCTCTTCTTCTCATTCTGCACAAATCAAAACTCATGGTTATGACCTCAAGAAAAGGCAGCACGTCATGTTAGAACTGTTAATAATCAAAGTTATATCCCACACCCATATGAGGTACACAAGCCACGCTTTTGAGCTCATCCCTCCCAACAATTTCTAGCCTTTTACTGGCCAACTCCTCCATTATTTCCAGATTGAAACCGGACAAAGACAATCTTTCTTGTTCGTCATCACTAACTTTACTAAAAGAAAATATATTTCTGTTCGTTTTTTCTATTCTATGTGAGAGGAGTAATTACTAAGAAAACTACAAACAGCTAAATTGTATGGGAATTTTATATTTAGAACATAAGTATCCTTACATAACTTAAGAGCACAAATCAAAAGAGTTTCCAACCAATAAGACAACCCAAATTCATCAAGAAGACAAAGTAATGAGGCTTACCTCAGCAACCATATCACTGAAGTCCTCACGCTGGCTGCGCAGTTTCTCCTCTTCCCTAGCTTCCTCATACCTGTGAAAATTGAAAAAAGTTAGCTACTAGAATCTTTTACCATATATCTTAAATCTTATGCTAATGCTTAGATGGTAATGTCTCCAAGGATCAAACTTACTTTGCAGGCAAAACATTGTCCATGACTTCCAATTCCTCTGGTTGTAGACTGACTTCCACTCTATCTGATTTTTGACCTTTAAGAAGATCAACCTGCAAAGGACAGTATAAATAATTAAGAAAAAAACCATCAGCCAAGTGGTCTGGTGGTAGAGTTGCCTGTGCTCTTAGACACAAGTCTAGGGTTCAATCCGTGATCTTTACATACCAAAAAAATAATAAAGAAATTAAGAAATCAAATTAAAAAGAGCATAGCCAAGTTGGTATCCAACTATCTACTAATTTTGAAACCTTAATTTTCTATTCTTAAAAAGAAAACTCAGAACCCAGATACTGGCACAAATAACAATTTCTAAAAGTTAGCTTTTTTGATCAGAATATAATATTTAACCACAAGGAAATATAGGTAATTACTTATTTTTAAAAATCTTTTTTATTTATACATTACCCTTTTGGCTGCATTTTTATCTTGGGTGCCAGTGTTGACCACGTACCTGTAAGCAAAAACAAGTTTCATTTTGGATGATTAGAAAATTTGGAGATAAAAGAGATGGAATCTAAGAAAATTTTCAACACAAGCAGAGAACCACTTACGTGTGTGTTGTCCCAAGCAAAGTACCAGGGGCAATCCTTTCCTCTTTTTCTTCAAGTACCTTCAAATGAACAGGGCAAGAAAGAAGCAATGAGAAGGAGATATCATGAATTGGAAGTGAGAGAATAGTACAAACAGAAAATTAAAACACAAATGGAAGTAAAATTTTAAACATGATGCTCACTTGGTAAAGAGGCCTCTCAGGCTCCTTCCTTTGCTGTTTACGAAGGTCAATGACATCAGGTGTCTCAACACCAGTAGGAGTGCTGAATCAGAAAAGACAAAGAGAAAGGAAGTTAGATTAATAAAAGAATTGCTACTTCTGATACAGCAATTAAAAAGCAATAACACCAGCCATAGACCAAGCAAAATCCAAAAATGAACAGTGCCAGTGCCAACAACAAAATACAATACCTTGAAAGGCTATCCACTGATTGAATACCATCCTCTAGCTCCTCTTCCTCAATCTGCTCTTCCTCTTCCTCCTCTTCTTCCTCTTCTTCTTCCTCCAAATCACCCCAGTGCTTGCTCTTATCAACAGGCTCTTCCTGAAATTAAACATTCCATAAAAAACCAGTAAGTTAACAGAATTAAATCAAAGGCTCAAGAAGACATACTATGTAAGAAACCTCAAGACTGTTATCTGCATTGGTTTTTTCTTTTGAATTTGAACAGAGCAAAGTCAAATCTACCATCCCCATATTGTGGGTGGTTTACTGAGCATATATATAAGGTCATCTTTCAAAATAAAATTGTCCATGCTCAAAATTCAGAAAAACCCAAGTTAGGCGCTGGGATAGTACATTATAACAGTTGCAATGTTGCAAAAGGCCACTGCCTAGTGCCAGGGCAATTTAGGCATTTTTCAAAAAACAAGCAAAAAGAATTAAAAATTTTGAATTAGGCACACCTAGGAGAGTGCATGGGCATTCCTAGGTGCTCTACACATGCCAAATGGCCAGATCCACCACAGTCGGTGCAATTAAATATTATGTTGAAACTTGAAAGGATGATAACACTAAATACCCAATTTACAAGCTTAAAAGTAATAGAAAGTACCTCATAGTTGGGTTGTTCTTGCTGATGAACACCAAAAACATCTCCATACAAAGGACGCCCAGTCTATTTAGAAAAACAAAACAAAACAAATAATCATTCTAAGAGCAGTTTACAACTAACTAAAGACAGTGTAAAAGAACCTATTAACAGCTTACCTCATCTACAGGAGGCTTGCCCCAGCCACCAGGATGATAACCGAAGGAAGCTCCAGGAGGGATGGGAGCATTTAGTCCAGGTATTTTCAGATGAGGGTATGATGGTGGAGGACCATACCTCTGGAAATATAAAATCACAGTTGTTACAATAACAAATACATTAATATAATAATTATATATATAATAATGATTCCTAAAACCCCAATAGCAAATTCAGGATGTTAAACAAACCTGCATATTGATAAGCCAAGGAGGTGGAGCACCTTCAGGCATACCAAGTGCTTCTTTCAGTTCATGTGATAGAGTTCCTGGTTTCATCTCCCTCAATTTCACCTGTATAACACACCAAAAAAAGGAAAAAAAAATTAAAAATAAGTGGAATTCTATGTGTATCGTTGAACTTAAATGAGTTAACATGTAAGAAATTAAGGTGATTCTACGATAGCATATAAGTTTGACATTCATGGATAATGTAAACAGGATGAAAGAGTACCTCAAATTCTTTCCCTTCATGATAGAGATCTCCATGAGTTGTCAGCTTTGGCTTTGTTTGGTATTTAAAAAATGCATCATGGAGAACCTACAATGTAAACCATAATGTCACAAGTTAATAGCTTATGAATATAATGTTTCAAATATATCAAGAGAAGCATGCATGCTTGGCACCTAGAGCACATGAAATAGCAAAGCAAAGCAAATCATATCACCTATATATATATATATATATATATATATATAAAAGAAATCGTGAATAAATGTATAAACCTGATAATCAATATCCATTTTCCCCATCTTTGGCTGCATACGCTCACGTTGCTTCTGTTTTAACTTCTTACTGTCTTCTTTCTCAATATAAGCCTGCATAAGAAAAGGGCCAGCAAATTAATTATGGTTTACAAAAGATGAATATAACTTGATCAAGGATAACAGGAAAGAAATTACTAATCCTCAAGCAACAGATGCCAAGACTGATGTGTGGACTTTGTATGCTACATTATGCATCACAGACATGTCAAGACACACCAGAGGGAAAACAAAGCACTACTAATTGTTAAAAAGGAGATCTAAAAGGACAGACAAGCCTATGCTAGACATTTAAATAAAGTTTGTTGAACATCCAAAATACATTTAGATGAAGAACAAAAGAACAAAAAGAAAAAACTGCAGGTTTATATTGTTACAAGAGACCTAACAGGACAGGAGGAGCAATCCAAGACGAAGTCCATCTGTTCATGAATCCATATATTGCTAGTAAATTACTTTCATAGCCAATTTTTTAAGACCATCTTTTTCTGATAAAGAAACGGAAGTGCACTAAGAACAAAAACAGAACATGAAAAAAGGGACATCTGCATGATACTCTTTGACAATTTGGGGCAAAAAATTGATGCAGAAAGTGTATACAATTTGCTTCAGCAAAGAAATCACAAGTACCTGTCTGATTTTCTCAATTCCTGTTGCAGCAATGAAATCAGGAAGCTGAAAGGGTTGCTTCTCAATACCACGCTTCCCCTGCAGAACAAATCCAGAAAATAGATGAGATACACCTAGGTTCAAAGGTAAGGAAATAATAGGAAACATCAGCATCCAACACAGGTCACTTTAAAACTTTAAAATCTTAGACGAATATAGCCCGAGCATAATGCACAATGGAAAGGCATCTGAAAATTCAAAAGAGATTAATTAGAACCTCAACAATGAACAAACCCCAAACATCTAACATGCATGATATGCATGCCATAAGAATTGTCCCCACAAAAATTCACATAGATATCTATACCCCAACCCTCATGACAAATATTTTAAAAGAAAAATAATTAAAGAATCCCCTTTTGCCAAACACCTACAATTCCAGGCTCCATGGTTGTCACAGCCGTTCCCCTGCAAGAACCACATATATACATATAAGAGAAACCTTATCGACATGATTTCCCTCACCCTCTTTCCTAAATCACTCATGAAGACAACTTTGCCTATTGATCATGCAAACATATTTGACCCATATTGCTCATCTTAGCAGCAAGGATCACAAACCTGCAGGTATTTTCTCTTCTGACACCAATGCCTTGGCACTGGAACAGTGTTTCGATATGCCTTGAGAAAAACCAGCAACTTAGGATCTGCTGCAGTTGCATCCCATACCTACAAAATAAATACAAATATGAAAAGTTACCATATCAACTTGGCGAAAGAGAATTCTAAAAATCAATTTCACAGCAGTGCAATATCAGCCCAAAAGTATGAGATCAGACTATATGCAATGTGAAGTTTCACCATCTATAGAGCAATGGTTCAATATCATGTATTTTCATCAGAGAGAAATTTCATCCCTTAAAAATATTCAAACTCATGAGTAGAACATCCTTAACTTCACTGTGTTAAAAGAAAAAACAATAATATTTCCATGAATATTAGAGAAAGAGGAAAAAAGTGAAGGTGGAAATTTGATATGGAGAAGCAAAGAAGTGAACACAAGACAGAAAACGGGAGAATTCAACTCAATCACCCAAAAAATTGCTGCAGAGGATTAGCAGGAAATTAACAAAGTGGCTAGTGGCTACTTGAATATAAGTATAACCATAAATACACTATAGAAGTGGAATTTTAAGAGAGGTCCAACAAAATGCATGTCATAGAGCAACGTAGGGATTCTAAGCCAAAAGAGAAAAATAGCAAGCTTAAAATAAAAGCATTGATTGCCATACCTCAACAACATCAGGTCTTGAGCATATCTGCTTTAGTTCAGCAATCTTCATTCGCCGTTGGAGCTGAAAAGTAATAATATGGTCTTTCAGTTTTACAACAATTGACAAAATTGCAATAATAACACAGAACAACAAGAATGAGACAGAATAACCTTTTTCTTCTTATTTGACACGCCACCTTTCTCTTTCTGTTGGTTGTCCTGTTCTTCCTCCTCTGAATCAGAATCAGCCTTCTTCTTTGGCTCTGCATCCAGAGCAGACTCCTCCTTTTTCTCCTCATCCTAGATAAGAGCAATAAAATCCAAAATTAAATAACACCCAAGATAAATTTTCCCAACAGTATACAATTATACAAAAAGAATGAATAAAATAGAATCCAAGCACAAACATTTTCCTTTTTACCTCAGGAACAGATTCCTGGAAGCTGAATTTCTCAAAGACTTTTCTGAATTCCTCATCCATACCATCATCTAACTCTGCCTTTTCTGGAACATACTCAACCACAACTGGCTCCATAACCTAAAATTTCAAATTCAATGAGATGTGAATTAACTAATATTAAAACATCAGACAACTTAAAAGCCTAATTCAGAGATTTTCACCATTGTTGCGAGCAAAAATTCAGTTTTAAATCAAACCAACAAATTATAAAGGAGCATCAAATCAAATTTGAGGACTAATCATAAATTGATCATTCCAGGTTTGACGTTCCATTTTCTATTTACTAGATAAAGTATCAAAACAACCAAAGAAAAAATCAAAATAACTTGTATTCTAAAGACCAAACCATGGCACGAATAAGCTTTCTAGTTTCAAGTTTTCTCTTATCCTTTCATTTCATTCCCAAGTTACTTATCAACGACACAACAAGCACACCTAAATGCAATATAAATTAACAGAGAAACCCTAATTTCTGTTCCTCCGCACCACAAATTCCACTCCACTCCACTCCTTTTTCTTTCTTTTTTTGACAGTTCAAATTCTTCCTCCATTCAAATCACGAACAAACATCATGAGCATCGCAAGAACCAACAATTTGAACAAAATTCAGCTCCCAAACCCTAGCAATCTCAACCGAAGAGAGAAGACCTACCTGCTGAGGATTAGCGTTCTCCTTAGCATCATCGTCGCCAGCATCACTGTCGCCGCCATCAGTTCCGTTCGCCAACTCCGCTTGCGCCTGGGACGCCTTATTAATCTTCTTCTGCTTGCGCCTCCGACGACGCCGTTCGCTCTCTCGAGACTTCTTGGCGGCAACGCCGGGGTTAGAGTTGCCGTTGCTCAGATCTCCGTTAGCCAGAACGACACCATTCTGGTGCGGAACAACCTCCACCGTCATCGCCGGAATCAATTATCGAGAGGGTTTTTGAAAGAGAGTAACAAAGTGAGAGAAATAAGAGGATTGACGGAGGAATACAGTCCGCAGAGCGCGAGAAGCTATAATAAATACGAGAAGGATACTCATGGATAAAGACCGTTGTCGGTTGGGTTAATTGAGCCCAAGTTCATTCTTGGTGGCCCAAATTCTTTTAAATCCTTAATGGGCCTCGCTTAAAGTTTCGTCTTCCCTTCGCGCCCTCTCTCGTCTTTTTCGGCCCTAATGGGACTTTCCAGAATCACATTCGGACGGCGGAGTCACGTGGCGACGTAAGATTGGATGGCAGAAAGAACTGCATATGAATATAAAAATAATATATTATAATATCAAAAACTTTTTATAAGATTGATTGTATATTTTTAATTTTATAGTTTATCTCATAAAATTATTTA